CATCTGGAGGTGCTCCACGTGATCTAAAGTTTGTTGTGTAGAGAAGCTGCATCCATAGAGGACCTTGAAAATAATCTAGAACAGTTTTCCCTAAACTGGTACCCTTCACATGTATTAAACTTAAATTTCCATTGGTCCTATGTATCACAGCCATTGCAGGAAATGTAGAATTTGTAGTCCAGACATCTGGAGACCACCACGTTAAGAAATTTATCTCTCTGTAAAATGCTGCTACAGTGTTATTAACAGATGTTCACTCTGCTAAAATATGTTGAATAAATAAGGATCTTCTATCTTCCTGAGGTAACCCACTGAAAAGAACTGTCTCCATATCGGTTTCTTTCACTTTTCTATCCACAGGTTCTAGACCTGTCTTCTGCACTTACTGACCACAGTCTACTCCATGTAACTTTCTTTTCTCCAGGCTAAACACATCCACTTCCTTCAATAGTTTCAGAAAGAATTTGGTTTCCAGACCCTTAAACATCATGATTAATAAAAATTAGTTTTTAAAAAAACAAAAAACAACAACAACATTATGGTTGCTATTTTCTGTACAGTATCTGTAAAACGTAGCACATCTTTTCCCAAGTTAGAGCCCTTCCAAATAGCCATATGTAGTGAATCTTACCTTGTAGGCCGGAAAGGAAGCCTGGATAACAGTATGGCAAACCTCCATTTTGGGAGTGGATGCCAGGGAAGCAGCCATCTTGAGTGAGGATAGTTAGAAGATGGGAGGAGTTTGGAGTCTCCTGGGATTGGTTAGGGCAGTTGGGAGGAGCCAAGTCTTAGGAGGGAAAAAGATTTCAGCTTCTGTGAGAGTTGAGAACTGGGAGCTAGTGTGTGAAGAAGTGTTTTTGAAACTGGGTTTTAAGGGAGAGAGTGTCTGTGTCAGACAGTGCTGTGAGCTGACAAGAAAAAGGCCAGACAGCCACCTGATTTCTTGTGAAGGTTAGCACAAGAAATTAGCTCTCTAGACTGGGTTAGTTAGCAGGAGGAACTCTAGGGAAGAGTTAGTTAATAACCCAGGGGACTACCTAGGATAGGTTAGTCAGAACTCATTACTATTTCTCTGAAGTAGAGTGAAGGTTTTTATTACCAACAGCTAGATCTGTTTGATTAGCTCTGTCTGTAACTAAGTGAAGAAACCTATTCAAGCAACCATCAAGCTGAAGTATTTTTGTAACAAGTCACACTTTTTGTACCTCTCAGAAGGAGTTAGTTGTCTGTTTTTATAAATAAATCTTTTTCTATTTAACTTTCAAAAAGGTCTCTACTGTACATCTTTCCATCAACAAGCCTTGGTGATAATTCCAGCATTTTAACATCTTGCTACTACAGAAAAGCCCCTTATCAAACAGTCATCTTGGGAGCCAGGGGAAAAAGCAGTGTTGGCAGGAGTGGGAAAAGTTTGCCTCATTTAATACTCATTTAAAAAATCCTAAAACAACTTAGGTTGGTGGCAGCTTTACTTTAAAAGAAGTTTTTAAACAAGCAGTGATCACTTCACCAGCACACGTATCCTGCATTGTCTCACTACTAAATTGGAGGCACAGGGGTGGGATTTTTGTGAAGAAAGGAAAATCTTTGGGGAAGATTCATCCTGCCCAGCTATATTATCAATAAGCCTCCAGCCTCACATCACTGACTGTGATATAATCCTTTACAGTGTGGGATATTATAGGATATACGTTATAATTGGTACCAGTGGTGGCAAGTGGCGTGATTTATAATAGCGTTTCTCTATACCATATAACCCAGAAGATCAAGGCAGATAATCCACAATATCTGCTTTGACCTGGATTATCTGAGTCCACTTCAATGTGAATTTTATACAGCTCTATGGAAGGGGTTTTAGTACTCCAGAAGAAGCCTGTCTGGGGCAGAGTAGACAGGCTTCTTCCAACATCTGCTTTGTTGTATTGTTGTGTGCCTTCAAGAAATTTCGAATTTATGACAATCCTAAAACAACCCTATCATAGGATTTTCTTGAGAAGATATTTTCAGATGTGGTTTTTATTTTGCCTTCCTTGCATGTTATGTTTCTAATGTAATGCAAACTAATATTACCTTGTCTTTTAAAATGGCCACATCACACATTGGCAGATGTTTTAACCACTGGGTTAAGCTTGTGCTCTTGTTCTATTCAGAACATGGCTGAAGGTCATTGTTTCAGAGTTGTATTTCTGCTGAATTCGTTTCTATGTCAACTGCAGTTATAACTTTATTCTGGTCTAGTCTTTCTTTTTCCACAATATAATAGCTTACAACAATGTGAATACAATTGCTAGCAAACCACCTGCCGCTGGAAATGTAATTGAGCATCTAGTTCTTTAGAAAACATTGTTTTTTAGGAGTTGTATATGTTTTTTAAAAATAGCAACATGCTTGTAACATGTGAATCTATATGTGTTTCTGTCTAGATCTAATGTGCAACAGCTCTAGATGTAATGTAAAGTTAGGAAAATATTAGGGGTATTTTTTTAAGT